ATGGGGAGCATTCAATCGATTGAGTAGCAAATAAGATGAAGACCATCTGTCTTGCCGCTCACCCTTTAGACCGCTATAAAAAGGAAGACGCTAGGGATAACCCTATTCCCGCAAGTGCAGAGAGGAATCCGTAGTTTCGAGCTCCAGCAACGAAGGAAGATCAGCGATGACGTTGCTCCCCCAATAAATGGAAGATCGAATGGACCGCGAAGTTTATGCATTATATCGTCATACGCTTTAACCATAGTGCTTACTGGTACCTGATTGGACCCCTTGGGACTCTAAACAAAATTAGGACTGCGGTCAGCGCGATGGTAAGACTTCTTAACGGAAGCTGTGAACGAAAGGAATGCTATATCTCGTGTCTCTCGAGCGGAACGATCCACTGGACCCACTCTGGCTCACGACAGGGGCGAGTATAGGCGTTACTGGCACCCGCTCCAGGGAATCGATAATCATTAGGACGACAGGTGACTGGTGACAGGTGATGCCTTAGGAGGTATAGAAGCTGTTCGTATATGTGCAGTGGTTCTCTACGCTATACGTATCCAGTTTTTTCGCTGCATCTTATTCTGAGGAGTTGATGATGCCAATCACTTTCATTACATGAAAATGACCGGGATGATTTGAAGCAACAGTGAATATTTCCAGACGAACCCACCTTGAATAAGTTGTTCTTCGAAAGTAATTCGATTCTGTTCTCGCTCACTCTCAGGAAATTCCGCTGCAGCTTTCGCTTCATGCTTCTTTGAAAGATAGTCCACCACTACCTCAAAACTATATCGTTACCCTCTGTGGTTGATGGAAGTTCTACGCATCCATTTTGAAAGTTTCATTTGCTTTATTTTCCAAAGAAACCTCACCTGATGGTTCTTCCGTCGTGCCAAATCCAATGGTGTGTACAGATTGCCCTTAAACAAAATAAATCATTTGCTAGTTCCTCCCAATCAAAGCTAAGGAGGAAGTTTAGTTCGAGTGTAACTTAACTTTTCTTGCAGTGAACCATAGTCTAACCTGACTTTACATTTGAAATCGAGGTAATCGTGACTCGGCAAAGTTCAGGATTACTTAATAAGTGCACGGGTGAGAAAACTGATTAAGAATAGCTTTGAAAGCAACTTCATGGAAAACTTCGCCAGGAGGACTAGTGCTTCGTTGATTATGAGGATCAAGTGGGTTCACGTTCTTGTATCTTCAATGAATTACAGAGCGAAGTATCGATATAGAATCAGAGTGGCGAAGGAAGGAGAGCAGGAATATGAAGCCTTGTTCATCATTCTCTCGGGATCGTTGACTGGCCGTGGGAGTCAGAACCGACCCCTTATGGACCACTTTTCGACTCGGCAGCCTCCCATGTGACGTCATGGGCCAGACATTCTACCAGTGAAAATTTCAAAACAGTTTTTATCATAAACTCTTGCTATAATTGTTTGTCTCGTTGAGCAATTACTACCTTGATTTGAAGGACCGGTGGTACAGTCACTCAGCACTAAACGGTTCGAAAGTGTAAAGCTAAACCTTCCCTAGATCGTTAAAGACTCCCAAAACATATTTATTATACTACATCATCCCAAAGAAAATTTTCTGTTCCATCTGTAAGTTCTTTTCAATTGATTATTCTAGGTGGCCTAATGTTTTCGTTGATTTTTTCTATGACTACTAAGGGGGCAGGAGTTCCCACGTTGATCTGCTGCCGGTCGTGTTCCTAATCCGTGAAAATTCAAAACTATGAAATCCCCACCTTAAAAAGCATCAGCGGGTTCACGAAGCAGCCTTTTGTACAAAGCAGAATGACCATTTCTAGATTGCCTTGGGCAGCTGCTAGATGTAAACAAGTACGTCCTTCATGACTAGCCGCATTCACAGTTGACGGATGAAGTGCAAGCAACCATTCGACGACGTCTAAAAGTATTCTCTATTGCCGAATCTCTGCTGGATGCTGGATATGTACAGTAAGTATGTACACTAAATATACGAATGGGCTACATCATCTGAAGAAGACGATGAAGTGCAAGCAACCATTCGACGACGTCTAAAAGTATTCTCTATTGCCGAATAACCCAAAAAGTTCTCTGCTGGATGCTAAATATGTACAGTAAGTATGTACACTAAATATACGAATGGGCTACATCATCTGAAGAAGACGGCCGCATTCACAGTTGACGGATGAAGTGCAAGCAACCATTCGACGACGTCTAAAAGTACTCTCTATTGCCAAATAACCCAAAGATTTCTCTGCTGGATGCTAAGTATGTACAGTAAGTATGTACAGTAAATATACGAATGGGCTACATCATCTGAAGAAGACGTTATTGTTCGCGCTAAAGACGAAGTCCTTTCCAACGTGTTAAGCATTTTTTCTTGCCTATATCACGTTATTTGTCAAAATCATTCAGCTTGGGGATTGACAAAGAGAAAAGATTAGGATCGAATCACTCCACTGAAGTACTGGATGTCAATTTGGCAGCGAGGGCCATTGAAATAGAGGGCATTATCCATCAGTGACTTTGCCTCGTGAACACATTACTTTCACTCTGTCGTATTCATGCTTCGGAAGTTCTGTCATATATGTAGCTCCAGCGAAGTTGCAATGCTGATTTTTGCGGCTGTTCAGCAACGAAAGGGCGTAGATGACGCAGCATCAAGTGCCTTTGTCATGTAGATCGAATCGCACTCTTGGATCGATACTTTCCGAAGCCATAACTACATAGTCTAAGAGGATAGAAGCATTGAATTGCACGTTGACTGACTCACATTGCATTTAGTACATTATTCCGTCATAGTAAAATCTATCCCGTGTAACTCAGGAAGTAACTAGAGACAGGGATGTTTTGAAGAGAAGCAGACAATCATCAGTTTCTCACTTCCCACGCTGTACCTGGTGATTTGGATTGGCACCATAATCCAGAAGATGTTTTGCTGCTTCGTAATGACCGTAGGTGACGGCGTAGAATAAAGCTGAATGCCCAGCGCGATCTCTCTGATCCACTGCAGGATGGGACGCGGCTTCCATGAAGAAGTCGATTGTCTGCAAACCTGTCGTTTGTGTTCCATAAATATCGAACAAGCACATCTCATTATGAATGCTGAACACACTCATTAGCTAGTTTAGCAGCATAGAATCATTGTAAAGTTCATACTTGCCATTACTTTATCTCATATTGTTACAACTGCAGCGCTGAATTTCCTTACTTAAACTAGGCCAGTGATCGGGGAGACTTTTTGGACTCACTTTTAAGTAACAACGAAGAAAACTCATTAAGGGAAGAAGCTTTTGATTTAGATCCATTGAACCTGCCAGGCTTGTCCAAGCAAGATATGGAGAGATGAAAAGTGCTTCATCAGCTCGATGCTTCGATCATTACACATGTTCCTATTTGAAGAGGATGAATCCCGTGATGCATCTCCTAGGATGCCGGCAGCAGAGGTTGTTTACAAGATGAGCACAAACGCTCAACATTGCAGCATCGTATCTTTTCGTTATAAGTTATTTAAAACACAAATCCGACCGAACCTACTTCGTGATAACCATGACTTGCTGCACAGTGAAGCACACCCAACCGATCACGGTCCACGGCTTCGAGATCACCACCGGCCTGCTTCAGTGAATGCATAGCTTCTAGATTCCCTGAAAACTCTGTTTAAGTACTGTTTGAAGCAATCTGACTATAAGTAGCGTCGATAGCGTTCACAATACTCCTACATTTCACAGCCGAGGTAGCTACAGAGCACACTGAAAAAACCGGTAGCAAAAACATTTGCCAACCAGCTGTTCCGAAACCACTGCACATCCTCGTGAATTTTGGAAATGAAGCTACACTTAAAGTAGTCGTGGATCAAGGAGGTTCGTCCCAAATTTCATGTATTGCTACTACAAAGCCCAGAGAAAAGCTGATTCGTAGTCTCGTTCCCCACCAGGCCACATTCCCCATCACTCAAGATTTCTTTCTTGGCATCCTACTTTCCAGTTCTCTCTGACTTTCAATGCTTAACTGAGAATACCATTGCTTGCAGCCCACAGAATCGGAGTACGATCATCCATATCGCGGCAGTTCGGTATCGCTCCTCCTTTGATGAGAGTGTGAAGCACAGCAAGCGCCAACTCGGCAGAAATGTCTTCAATAGCGGTAGCATAATGAAGCGGAGCGGCCTTCTGAAAGCAAAGATTTCCTCAATTACAGCCGCAAAAGTCTTCATACAAGGTATGAAGACAAAATGGTAAGAACAGAGCTGAGCAGCTTTGCGAGCAAAACTTCACGTCTACCTCAAAGGCACAGCGCACGATAAAAATGGTTTCTTAGGTTTTTCCTCAAGATTACTTAATGACCCCCAAGGGTAACAGAAATTACGCTGTTAGGTTCAAAAACTCAAGAGCTAGGGCATAATAGGGGTCCGATTGTTGACCGGATTGGTCGGATGTCATGCCCATCGACCGATGATGTGCCCGAGTGTCGACGCATACATATTGCAATAGTCGCGCCAGGACCCACGCATTCAGCACGCAATCAGCTGATCGTCGGGTGATGAGGCAATGTTTTTCTCATATTCGTCACTTTGTATTATTCTTTTTGCGGCTGTGTTCCTTTATCTAAATTACTACATCAAGAGGGTGAAAAAGCTGAGCGATTTTTGCAGTCAATAGTGTTTTTGTTAACTTATTAGTGAGTGAATTTTAAAGGATATTTTTGCTTGATGTAGTATTGAGCTACTCGCACCAGGATCTATACGCAATAGAAAACATTGCATAGCTCGTCCAGTCATCCCTTCTATTTCATTCTTATAGTAACATTCTCGTCCAGCCTTCTTTTTAACGATTTTTTGAAGCCCTTCTTCACTTTGTGAATACTAATTCGCGTGTTTTCTTCGCCTTCATCGCACTATTCTTCACCCTCTCTTTCTTTTCTATTATAATCTAGGCAACACAAAATTATCGTGAAATATGCCTTTGAATGGTAATATAATACTCAACCTGCATAATAAGTGAATTGAGGATAAACTCACCAGTGAATCTGATGCCTCGATGTCAGCACCTTTGGAGATCAAGAAATTAAGCATATCCAGCTGCAATATTTTCAATTGAATTTTATCACTTTAAAGGAACAATTCTATTAGCACTGCACCTGACCACATACAACAGCCCAGTGAACTGCAGAATGACCGTCTCTGTCACGGTGGTTGATGTTGGCACCTTTTGAGAGCAGCAGCTCGACCAAGTCAGTACGGCCGTTCATAACGGCCATCAGCAGCGGTGTGTGCCTGTTTTGTTGGAAAATCAGAAAGAGGCTTGCTATCACTGTAACTACACGTCGCTTTCTACTCCGCTCTCCTATTCTTATTAGTTCAAGCAAAACGATCAAATTATTAGAAACAGATCACTAAATTCAATTTTCTGACTTAGTCCATTCGAACTTTTGAACAACTCGGTAAAGCTACCGAATATCGTGTACTGTAATTGAAGCGAATATAATTTGCAACTTTATCCTCCTTGAGCGCTTCAGTACTCCAATAGTAGGTGACCATCCTACGAACTGGTCGTGAAGAATAACGACACAATTGATAGATATGCACATGGTATATAATGCTGCACACCACAGTGACACAATTATACCAATAACTTTCTCTATTCCGATATTCTTCGGGAGCGGTTCAGCGGTTGAGTAGCTCAGTTCATTCAACACTTATTAAAAAATTTACTTCATCTTTTCACTCAATTTGCGCTAATTCGACTCAAGTAACACTGTCTCCCTCCATCTGCCTCCGCCAAACCGGTTGGCCAACGTAGGTTTCCCTATACTGTCGCATGTACTCTTACCAATGAACGCTGTAGATCACTTCTACGCTTGTCCCGCTCAGTCCAATCGCGTCACCCATCATGATTGTTCCCTTCCTGCTCCTGTTTTCCTACTAAATTTGAACTCTTAAGGCCTATGGTATCGGAAACATGGATTTCAGCACAAGAACTTATTTCGCGCGCCGCGCCCTCTGTGGGCCGGCACCGGTCGTGCCACCCACCATAAGTGTTCCCAACCTGCCCCTTTTTTCCTACTGAATTTGAGCTCTCTAGACCTGCACGAACAGTAATTATGATTTTCCGGTCAAACACACACACAGATTCACAGGCAAACTCACAACACATCTACGCGTTGTAGATGGTAGGATGAGTCTATTCGTGATGACGTTTCTCTAATTATTGAACATAGCTCTTAGAGCTCTCTTTGAAAAGAAGGTGAATCATGAAACCATGCGGAAGCTTTATTCCATGAATGACATCTATGGAGGGGTCTCTCGTTTTTCTTTGAGAGGATTGAAGTGTAATCACCGGACGGTCCTGAGTTGCTGTCAGTACTTTGTAGAAAGGTTGTGGCGGACGCAATCCAAGATAAGCGATTCGCTTTTTTCCTGGCCCTGACTAGTCGTGCGCCGCGTACAGTACCTATCCTGATTGTTCAAAAAATAACGTGAAAACCCGAATCTGCGTTTGTTCCTTTTTTTCTTCACAATCGGGTCAGTTTTTACTTTTTTACAGAGAATGCTACACAGATCGACACAGCTTGACGAGTTCTATAAACAGGTATACAGAAAATTCCAAACAACTCGATTTTGATATCCTCAGTTCTGCAAAGTTCCTACGGGAAAACTAGAAGGCCTTATTTTCCACTAGAACTATCCAATGAGTTGTGAAGTAGCTAACATGAAACAAAACAATTTTTACACCAACACATTCCTAAGGTTATACTCGTCATTTCACTTTCATTTTGCCTTAGAATGGATGAATTTACCCGTGCGTCAATTTCCATTTTTTAAGCTAAATAAAAACTAAAAAAACTAAAAACAAAAAATATCATTTACAATTCAATCCCTAGTCTCGGTAAATTATATGCCAACATTCAGAGATAGCCTATCTTCACAATCTGAAAATTGTTGAACAAAATGAGAGAAGAAGCGTTATCCTGCTAACAATAATACTGCAGTAGCGCTCAAAAGTATTCGGTGAAATGCTTCTTCAGCCGTACTTTTCTATCGTAACTCCTTTCCTAGTGGATCGAATCATGCGAAATTTCAATATGCGTAGCATGGGTGTGTTGTGAATATTTACCACTATTGACATGCAGTCTGACCATGTTCCAGATATACTAAAGAGCTTGAACTCGAAATCTGTTGAAAATACAGATGGTGGTCCTCCAGAGTCTCTTTCCTCTTTGCCATGACTAAAGTGTACGAGCGCTAATGCCGAACTTAGTAGAGGAGAAAAACGTACATGAGGTGCGAATAACTGCAGACGTCAATAACTTTGCTCATGGCGAAGTCTACTATCGCATCAAACCCTTGCTCTTAGTTATGTGAATATTGCTGTTTGCAGTCAAATAGTGCTGGGTGGGGTGAAATATGCTCAAGTTAAACATATCGAAATTTCGCGTGATCCGGTCTACTAAGAAAAAAGTTATGAACGAAAAAACGTCGAAGCGTTTGACCGAAGACTTTCGAGCGCTACTGTACATGCAATGAGTATGAAAATTCCCGTATTTTTGAATACTTGAGTCATCATGCATCAGGCAGTTTAGTGGAGAACACGACGCATCAAACGATTCACAGAAACATGCAAGATAGAAAAAGCACGGATTCGGATTAAAGCACCACTTCATATAGTGGAAAGTAGAAACAGACATCAAAGTAATTTCAAGCAAAGCACCGACTCGACCACCTGACTAGCNGTATGAAAATTCCCGTATTTTTGAATACTTGAGTCATCATGCATCAGGCAGTTTAGTGGAGAACACGACGCATCAATCGATTCACAGAAACGTGCAAGATAGAAAGGACACGGATCCGGATTAAAGTAAGGGCACCACTTCATATAGTGGAAAGTAGAAACAGACATCAAAGTAATTTCAAGCAAAGCACCGACTCGACCACCTGACTAGCTTCACCCATTTTTAGACGAAACTTGGTATCAAAATGAATAATGCAAGCTGGAAAAGGCAGTAGTCTAATGACGTGAATGAATTCCGGGATACTTTTAAATTGAGCTGTTTGAAATTTTCAATTTCCCAATTTGCAGAGCGTTTTCGAATGTTATGTAATTCAGCATCAGAAATTTTGAATTAAATGACAAACAAAAATGTAAAATCATATTTGATTGTAAAGAAAAGATGGAAAAATGTAAGTTCGCGTTCCTTTCGTTATTTTGGCAGGGTCGGTATCTATTCATGATGTTTTAGATAGCGTGCTCTCCCACGTAATCTAGTAATTTTCTATTCAGTCAATTTCAATGAATCTAAGCGGTAGTCATGAGGATTACTATCTTAAAGGATCTTGCGCCAAGTTGGTGTAGTCGCCATAGTTAGGAGTGAACAACAGTGATGTATGAGCTAAATGACCCTCCCAAATTATTAACCGAAAAGCGTAAAACATAACAAGAAAAATGAACAAGCTAGAAAAGTGAGGAGAAAAACGTGGAATATAAAGATAGTGAATGTCTTTTCATTTCTTTTTTTTTTGCTTACTTCTGTTTTCGAAATCGTACGATGACACCAATTCACTCGATCATTATGCGTGCTTCGAGCACTACTCAAAATGGTACATTTCGATTTGAAGGGGAGAATTTCACTCCCTTTCGTTGTAGAAACGCCTACACTCTCTTTCATCCACGCCCAGAAATGAAATCGAAACATTTCTGTGAGAAAAACGAGAGCAATAATTGCAATCGAGTGTAAATTCATGGGTCCATGAAGAATTATTGCCCTGATTATTATGGAGCAACACAGTGGGGTTCTCCATTGTTACGTGCACATTGGGCGCATTTAGAGCCTTCATCTTTGTGCAGGGTTGCCAATCTAATAAATAAAGCGACCAAGATGGTTTCCTCTTAAATTCTTCTGCCAATCGTAGTAAGACATGCTTCCCGTTTCCAAGAAATTACACCCACGCTTCGTCATACTCGCATGCTTCGAGGGTAATGTCATCATTACGCCACACTACAGCGTATCCGATCTTGTAGCACCATTTCCAGACCTTCTTGAATGATCACGTACCTTTGCCATCGGTTGTCATCACCTACAGATCTCCATATTACCTGACTGTGATGGCCAACGCCTCGATTAAAAACCATCATGGTTATAACGTTATCATTCGTAACCCATGTTCTTTTAATTCATTGAACCGAGCAATAGAAGTCTTTAATCATCTTAAACAAAAGTCTTCTACAGCAAGTTGCTACGAGATTGGGTTTTCTCATCTCGGCTTCTGCTACTGTCATATTTTATTTGAGCATAGATGACATATAAAGCTCCTGCCCCAGAAATTTCTGGCTACAAATTATGCGCAAATGCGTATTTCACTACGGAACTTATTGTTTTCTTCAATAGCGCAATCGTACTTCTGTAATGAACGAGTCTCAGATTGCCTGACACTCTCGCCGGGTTTCTCATGCGAATTCACATAAGTCCTGCCTCACTGCGTAAAGCCTCCTTCGTCATATCGTTCTTAGCATCCTGGGTGCCTTCCGAGATTTCCGACGAACGAGGTTTCCGCATCATACAAGATTGTTTTTTCCTTGTAGCTTGAAAATTCCTTTCACGTTGATTTCATTGGGTTCTACGATCGGGTGACGCTGATATAGTGACCGCACTATTACACACGGTTGGTCCCAAGATTGAACCCCGCGTCGGTTACCGTCCAGGCCAAAAATGCTTTCTATCGCTCCTAGGTCGGTTATTTAGGATCAACTCATCTGGGTGGATAAAGGCACTGACCTGTACATCACCTCTTCATCAACCATATATGCATTATAAACGCCTCTCAGAATGAAAATCGAATGCGGGCGCATTTTATAGGATGAATATATTATCGACAAAGACTAATTCCTCTTTATTATGTATTCGCGATGGAATGTCTAAGCGATATGCACACTCTGCAATCTTTGGCCTCAAGAGGCTCTATGAAAATAGATGAGGTGGTGCGGTTGCTCTCTGCAACCACCCACCCTTCCACCGTTAGCTTTGCCTTTTCGTTACTTACTGGCCACCTAGGTCAAAAGTACTGGTTCTAGAGTGGGCACGATCGTGCCGTACTCTCAAGATCAACGTTGCTGATAGTGCACTCGGACAATACAAAGATCATGAAGCTATTCAGTCAGCTTTACTTTCACAGAAGCAGGTGAAGGTAATGAACATCTCTGCTCATATCAGGAGATTAAACAGCTGTTCCTAGATGTCCATTCCTCGTTACCGCAAAAATATGATCATCACCTCATACGAAACAGCTCCCACTCTCATTTTTTTGAATACGCTGGTAACTTGACTTGAAATCATTTGCGTACTTCTAGTTCTGTGCTATTAAGTTTGAAGACATTCTCTCTTATTCATGACACGCCGCCTGCTATTAAAGCATTTGAGCATCACGGTAAATTTGAGACACCTACATGATTCTGTTTTCCTTTTGGCGAGTGATTGTACAGCACTCCTACCGATGCGCTAAAGCAAGTTATTTTCTACTCGTTGTCCCAATGGTGAGAAACTTCTTTGTTAAAAATATTTCGTGCATTACATATATTCATGAAGTGATAAGAGTCATCTTACTGCGAATACTGCGTTATGGAAGATGCAGAAAATTGTAATGATAGTGCATGGTTTAGGTAGGAAGGCTATCATCAGAAGCGTAAATGGGCGTAGATTAACATAAATGGAATTTCTGTAATACAAAAAAGAAATCTTACATAATGATAGGATATCCTCGCCCGCCTTTTTCTATTCACAAGAACCGATTCATGTTTTCTCGTGCATGAAGGTCTCACTGAAGGGTTTCTAGCACTCATCACTGCTCCCAGCTGCCGCTGAGGAGTTTGCTACAACCATGAACTTTGTGTTGGCTTATTTGTTTCAAGATCGACCCCGAATTACCATCATGACTTCATTCATAAAATCGTTCCTCAAGTTGTGACGCAGCTATGAGATCAACATTCGAAAACACGTCTAGCAGTTTAGATCTCATTTCAAGCGGCTATTCTACTCGAGACCCTTTCATAGCGAGGAAGAACGGCTAGACAAACCGGGAACCCTGTTCAGTGCAATCAGCTGGATCATCATAATCGAAAGTCATGTGTTGACAGAGTGGAAATTCCATTTTGAATCGAGGAGCTGGTATATACAGTAGCGCTCAAAAGTCTTCGGTGAAATGCTTTGACGCTCTTTCTTTCAAAACTTTTTTGTTAGTGAATCAAATCGCGCAAAATTTGGATATGAATAATTAGAGCAAATTTCACCCTACCCAACATTATTCGACTGCGAGGCTGCAATTCCACAGATAGAGCAAGGTGTTTGTTGCGGTAGCAGATTTTGCTAAAACTAAAGNTCGCACCTTATGTGCGTTTTTCTCATCTATTGTGTTCGGCATTACCGCTCGTACACTTTAGACATGGCAAAAAGGAAAGAAATTCCAGAAGGGCTATCAATCGTATTTCCAGTTGATTTTTCGTTCAAACCCTTTGGGATATGTGGAACATGATCAGATTGCAGGTTGATAGTGGCAAATATTCACAATACACCCATGCGACACATATTGAAATTTCGCATGATTAGATCCAGTAGGAGAGGAATTACGACTGAAAAGCACGGCTGAAGAACTAATTCACCGAAGACTTTTGAGCGCTACTGTACTTCGATGGAGAAGTTATGTCGCATCCCGCTCACTGGACGAGTAGCCCATATCATAGCCTCGTGCTCATATTAATGTGGAGAGTATTCTTGGGAATGGAGGTTTAGAATCGCTTCAAGATAACTTGGAATAGTTGTACTAAAGATCAAGTTGGGCGGCTGAATCTCTTGCCAGAGGTCACGTCACCTCGTGATACGTATTTTCGACTGGTGAGACCCTTTAACATCCTTCTACAGCAACAAATGCAGTCGTCTAGGAATTTTGGGATATTTTTATAGGACTGTGCTTTCTCGTTCAATACCACGTAGTTGTATATACGATCAGTAAAACAAGCAAGCTTACCCGTTTTTATCCTCGCAGTCGAGAAGGGTGAGATCACTTTCGAGGATTTTTTTGAACATTTCCAAATCCATCGTTTCGGCTGCATAGTGCAGCGCTACACGATCCTCGGGATCTCTCACTGAGACTTGTAGCTGAAATTTGCCACTGATCACATCCCAATGCTTGAAAGGCAAACACGCAATAAACACATTAAATTCTTTATATTCCTTCGCATGGTAACGTAAACAATACCATGACTTAGGCTCAGATGCTACCTGCTGACATCAACAACAAACTCTGTGGTATCAGATGACTTGATTTACTGGCTTCAGCATGGAGCAGCACTGAACCTCTCCTAAGAAAGCGTTTTCATTCTAAGCCGCTATATAATTAGGCTGACCCACAAAGCAGTGGTGAGCTATTGAGGGTCCATGTATTACCAATCAATTGCACGCCACTTTCAGTTGTTCAGCTCAGTCTTCAATGGCTCTATAACAACATCTTTTGTTATATGGTGAGCAGCAAGGTCCACGCGCTCATTTGAGGGGGAACAATGCTTCTCGTAGGTGAATGGCATGAGGAAAGAATTCTACATTCGCTGAAGACACCAAAGATGATAGGACCTGAACACTTTTTTGCTCCAAACTTAGTTATACGTACTTGTACTTTGTAAAAGATTTGAGGATCTTTTGAGCGACTTCTGGGCAGGCTAGTGGTCAACTCTAGCTCTATACGACGAGTACGTGTTTTGTGGTCCCTACCAATTAACCAGCTCCAGAATAGAATTGGTTCTGTAACTCATAGAGAGTGATCCCATGAAAATGTGTTGTACTGCACCTAGCTAAACTCTGAATGTGTACTAGCTACAGACTGTAGTAGCTAGCTAGGAATCAAATACAATTGAAAGAAATTCAAAGTAGCAACCTAATAGGTATATACTGCGCTTTTAAGTCCCTCTCGTCCTTTCAATTGCCTTCCGCGATAATTTAACGCAGGATTCCTACATATATAGGCAATGCACCTACCAGCGGTGGTAGCCGTGGCTTGGACTTTTCTCTTCGAGCAGTTTCTATCAGTTATACTGATCTACTTCATCACTCACTTCCGCATAGTTAAAGGCACAGTTCACGATAACAATGGTTTCTGATATTTCCTTCTAGGTTTTAAGTCAGGAAACGGCCTAGTTAGGGGGTTATAAAGCCTCAGAGATTGGCTTGGTTGTATCCCCTGACGAGTTTCACCGGCATCGTAGAGGCTGCATTTTTCACAAGGGAGCCCATGTAGGAAGTACAAACAACTTGTCATGACCCATAGCGACAGTGAAAGACAGTTCTGTACAGCTCTGGCTTGATGTAGTCAGCTCTTTGCGCAATTGCAATAATTGAAATCTCGTCCGAACACCCTTTCCATGTTATTTCCTTCATGGCAATCTCGTCCAAGCTCTATTTTTCCTACTTTTGTGGAGCCATATTTTCCTCGAAATCGGCGAATTCTCTCGCTTCTCTACTACAGATGAACTGTTCCCAATCTCTACTTCCGCTTTTCGAATGAAAACGGGTACCTTAAAACTATCGTGAACTGTGCCTTTAATGTACATACTGCATCAATAGCGACGCAACGTCTTAACGATTGCAAATAACGATTGCATGTGCAACAAGAAAGTGAAGTAAATCATTCAAAAATAATAGTGGATTCTATGAACAATGCGGTCCATGCTTACCGGCTCCTCTTCCAAAAGTCGTTCAGTCTCCACCCGATCTTGACTATCCAATGCCCGCAGTAGAGACAAGTCAGTCATCGAATTACTGTAACGATAGACTGATCGGAACATTTCAAGCGGTTAGGCTGGATATCGTAGAAACCACGGCGCCCGTAGTGGAATATTATGATGAACTTGCGTGAGTGCATGGATATTTATACGAAAGAGCTCAATTTTCTAAAAGAGAGCATGGTTGACTTTCTTGTCGACTTTAACTACTTTCACTCGCGATACAGCCATTTCCCTTTCGCTAAGTACATTCCATTTTTGTTTCGTAAAAGCGCAGGAAAACGTCACTAACCCCTCCTTCTTGGCTTATTCGCCCCTGGAAGTGTGAAGGGAAAACATGGATTATTCAGATCCAAGCCTAGAAGATATTATCAAGAAGACACGAATATGGCGTGTAATGCGCTCCGATTAATGAGGTGTGAATATTACTTCACAACTTGGGGGAAATGGGAGGGAGGGAGGGGGGGTGGGGGGCACCATAGAATGCGAGGCATGGTTCATGTAAAGCACTTTAAGAGCTGAGATGGTAATAAAAACAAGCGCTAGGCCTTGAAGCAAGAGAAACATCCTTTAAGATCTCAGTGAGGCAGTTCAGGTAATTATGAGGCACTGTTAATCACCCACACTCATTTCAGGAATGTACTCATGTCCTAAGCTTCAGCCGCACCTGTGCACAAAATGACATGGGCGGTCCCGAGTAGTGGTTAATTTTAGAAAGAGGCGGAAATTGGAGAAAGGGTTGTATGACGGAGGAAATCAATAGAGGTAATAAACATTAAAGGAATAGCATACGAAGAAGTTTCGATAAACGGAAAAGAAATGTTTCTGCGTTAAACCAGGATGAGACAGGATATCTCTATGTACGACGTGGGCCCGCCTGCCGTTGCCAGGGGCAACCGGCCCTTCGTCCTTATTCTCGCGATCACTCATTTTAAGAAAACTAACGGAAACATTAAATTCAGTCTTCGGAAATGATGAATGTGGAAGGAAATCTATTATGGAATGGAACAACTAATAAATTTGGTCATGTTCTGTGCACTGAAGACCTTTCCGTACCTTTTCGTGCCTTTTCGTATGTGTGGAAACGATATACGTCGACTAGAGTAATATTGCAAAAAAAAGCTTTTTTTGGAAAAGAGTTGCGGTAAAGCTTGCTCTATTTAGTCGGAGTGAGTGCGTTGTACTTCGAGAGATAAATGTTCAGCACAGCTTATTTCGTGTTTTCGAGGTTTTCTAGTACAATCCATTTGATCCAGCTCTTTCATAATTGATCAGTCATAAGCGCCTTCTGTCGGTACGAAATTTCCGTTACAACTGACCTGTCAAGGTGAATTCAATTACGTTCTCAGTATTTTAATTAGATAATTGTGAAATTTAATACGTGTTCGTTTAGCAGTGAACGAGTATCGGGATTGTGCGTTTGAGTGCATATATGCGCACTGCGACTGCATTATTTAGTGGCGCTGCTGTCCCAAAGAAAATTCATTCAATATCTTCCATTTTAAACTTGAATTATATTGGCGTGTGTGCTTTTTCTATTCGAAATTGTCTACTTCTATTAAGCTGATCGAGCAGTCTTGATAGGGCTTTTTGAAAAGTGCGGGATTTTCAAATTTTGACCTATATCCATGATCTATCATATGATAGTTGTAGAACATTCAAGGAGCCTCTCCGCATGTATATAAGGGCGCGTGCGCCTTCCTGAGTTTGAACACGATGTCAATTCCACAAGACTATCTTCGAGCCATCGTCTTTTATGGGTGGCGCCGCGGCACTGGAGCGACAACAACAGTCTACAACATCAACAGCGCATGCTTAGAGGACACCACTTCCATCGCTACGGTCCATCGCTGGCTCACTCGCTTCAAGGAAGGAGTGCGGGGGAAAAGCCACGGTCTGGATTCCCCCTCGCCGTCGACGACTCCATCATTCTTGATACCTTAAAAGGGATCCGAAAGTTAACAACCGCAATCGGGTGGCGAGACTTAGATTTACTCAACCAGCAGTCGTCAGCCGCCTTCACGCCCTCTTTTACAGAAAAGTGTGGACTCGATGGATACCTCATGTCTTGGCCGATAGCATGCCGTACACCTGGGCATATCTGTCAGTCCCTTCTTCTTCGCCCACCTCGCAAGGAGTTCCTGGAAAACCCAATCACTGAAGGTGAAGAATTAATTTTCCACGACGCTAACAAGCACCGCGCCGTCTGACTCCCACGAGGAGAATAGCCACCAACGCAAGCCAAATTCGGCCTCCATCCCGAGAAGTATCTCCTTCGCTGCTTCTGAGATTCAAAAGGAATGTTGTACTACGAATTGCTCGAGGAAGGCCCTACCGTCACAGCTCACTGATACGCTGGTCAGCTGCAAAGACCTAGACGAGTTTCGGTGCACCTCCTCTATAGCATCGTTAGGCCTCACATAAGTAAAGTGATAAGTGCAAAATTGGAGGGGGAGCTAGGCTGGGACACGGTTTCACATCCACCCTATTCGTTCGATGTTGCACCCTCAAATTATCACTTGTTCCAGCTCCTCAAAGCTTTTTTAGCAAAAGAACAAGTCGTCAACTAGGATCACTTTGGAGAAGTGGCCGGTGACTTCTTCGAACCCAATCTCCTCAGTTCTGGGAGAAGAGGATCGCGGACCTGCCCGTCAGGTGGGACAATGTTATAACTAGCGCTGGTTATTATATCGTTGATTAGTTTGTATTGTATGCTGAGTTGTGGAATACAACAGGAAAACATCTCAATCCTATTAAGGCTTTTCGATCAACCTAATAATTAACCCAAACGTTAAAAGCTCAAATTCCCAAAGCGTAAAGATAACGAAGTGCGATAGAGACTGCTACTGATACGAATAAGTGAAACAACTAGATTTAATGCAGTTCAGAGTGCAAGTGTTTCTGAATTTGTATCACCTTGCGTGTAACCGGTTGAACTCGATACCGCCACGTATGCATTACGTTTTATGGGACCGGGAAACAAGTAGATAGTCGGTGATGATCTCTTGTATCAGTGGGTTGGCAATTTCATTGAGATATGCCGTTGAGTTCTGTACCATGATTAACGTCTAGTTGATGTGCATTCGGTGCTAAGTGGGTTGGGGGGGGGGCCACGCGACGGCGCGGCGCCTTTTTATGTCTGTGCCCTCCCCGGCGAGATAGTAGACAAGGAAGAATAGGCGAGCCCGTAATGGTGTTTAGGGACGTTTCATAGTTCTTTTATGTTATAAATGCGTATTTTTCACCTGATTTCAATAAGGGGAGGGGCTCCGGGGTGGGTGAGCCAATTGGACGTTCAGCTTTTATCTCATGTCAGCTTTTTTGCACGAGATAACCATCTCACCCACCCCGGAGCCCCTCCCCTTCTTGAAAATAGGGTTTATCGGCTCAGAAGAAGAGTATCCATAGTATGCAAGCATATAACACGTGCCAAGAGGTAATTTGTTTTGAATCCCGAAACACTTCAGTACAATCTCACCATCCCTTCCCAGACTCAGGCGCACTACTACTATCTCGCCGGGGAGGGTGCAGACATGAAAAGGCGCCGCGCCGCCGCGTGGCCCCTCCCAACCCACTTAGCACCGTGCATTCTTTAAAACGAATGGGACCTACACTTCTGCCACACTTTTTTGCTAAGAAACGCCTAGTAACTGATTAAAACGTCATAATCCGCTACTCTGACTTTCGCTTTACTATTCTGAGTAAGTTAAAGAATGCCTTTGCTCCGAGAAGCTTAGGAACGTAGGGTATGTCTTCTTTCAGTCAATGCTTGACGGTTTTTATAGAAAATTAAGCATATAATTTTTGAGCAGTAGGTGTCACCTGCGGATGTGACGACATCGTAAACACTTCCTTCCAAATCGGGAATTCTGACGTTTCATAGATATCAATATCAACAACGAAATGCTCAGGAATTTCTACTCCTACTGGTACCACTTCAAAACTGCTGGTGTGTGCTTTAGTTCTGTTAACCGCTCGATTATCATCAATTGTCGAATCTACGACATTTGGACTACTGGCTCTGCTTTGTCTTCTCTTATTGTGGTTATCGGTAGCATTCCATTCAGTGACGCGTTCGTTACAAATTCGGCCTCCTTGATTTGCCTGCTGTCCCTTTCGCTGTGCTTAGAACGTACTGAACTATGCTGACAAGCCTGAATTGATGTCCCGTCGCCAGTTACTGTGAGAGGAGTCCGGGTATATAGGGAGGGAAGACAAACATACACGGTTTCGACATATGCAATTTGTGGAAAATGCTTTCTCAAATGGAATGTTACTTACAATTAGGTCTAGAAGGAATGACGCGTGTGTGTATGTGTGTGTGGTGTGCGTGTGCGTATGTGTATGTGTGTGTGTATGTGTGTGAGAGAGTGTGTGTGTGTTCGTGTGTGTGTATGTACGTGTGTGTGTGCTGTAAGCTTGTTTTAGCTTTTTCAAGAGTTTAAACTTTATTGGGTAAAATTGATAACCTGAAAGTGATCGATAGCCCGAGTTCACATTCATCACCGATTAATGGATTGAGCAGTTGAAGACAACGAAACCATAACAGATTTTCGGAACAAACCTTGCATTTCTGTAGTTTCTGCTCATTAGTTGAATTGTAATTAAGTTCGGAATGGGATCACGAGCGCGTTATCTTTCAGAGGATTTTGTATTGTTCCCTAATAAGAGCGAGTTCTTTATGGCCTATAATCCGTGAAACCTTCATGTAGCGAGGTTGAAGTTTAAGAAACATATTGAGACAAGCTCAGTTTTCAGGCTAAACTCGATCATACCCTAGCGAAATATCATGGAACGAGAATGACAAGGAGTTCAAGGATTTCTGAAACATGCTGATATTAGTTTCTTCTGATGACTAGAATGGAAGCTACTTGTCATCAGAAGGGAAAAAAGAGGAACTGGGAGTGGGAAGCTTCGCGCTTTTTACAACGTACCACGGTCCAATGTGTTTACTTGGATATAAGACAGGAAACAACTTAATTTGCTTCCGTTTTCGTTTCAATGATGTATTTGGGAGTTCATATCTCGGC